TCCTTATCCTGGTGTTATCAGTGTGATTGCATTATCTTAGCTTCATTCAGCTTGCTGTACCATGGATTTCCTCTCCTGAAAGCCATTATTTTCTTTCTGACTGCCTCACACCTCATTATGTACTTGGCTCAAATTGTACTTATAAACACTGGTGCTAGGTCTTACTTTGAACCAGTTGTCATGTCCTTAATTTTCATAAGGACATTGGGCTGATGTACTTAATGTGACTATTTGATGATACAGTTATCAAGCAGAGAATTAATTCTATCTGCAGAATAAATACATGATGGTAGACAGCTGGATTTAATGCAACTGAAATTCTTAAAAACATGAAGGTAATCCTTTCTGAGTAGGTGAGCTGTTAAAAGTGTATAGGTAGTATAGTGTGAGAAGAGTTTTCTTCAGAGGAGTGTAGCTGATTCTATTCACACAGAAAATGAATAGCTTCAAAATATGAAGAAAAAATTTGTTTGAGGACAAATTGTTTCAGTCCTGATTCCCTGGAGAAATTCCTGTATAACTGGAGGAGACTCATTCAAATTCCATCCATGTTTCTGTAGGATCTTTAAATCTACATGTGGAAGCCTATGGTAAGGATATTTTGATGATTCTGTTCTATGTAATTTTTAGGCTGTTCGCCTCTAATGATACTGTCTTTTCCTTTTGTAAGATTTGGGGCGGGGGGTGGAAATAGGGTTTTGTGAAAGTCGTTGTCTTCTAAATTTTACAGTGCTTCTCTAGAAATTCAGCATACCTACAACATAAACAGATTTTTTTTTTTTGTTTTAAATGTATGGAAAAATGGATTTAAAGAAACTAATTTCATAGAACAGTACGTTCTGCGTAGCTTGGAGTTTATCTGCTTTCAGTCTTTCAAAGTGCCTTTGTTGGAAAGGAATTATTCAGTATTTAATGTTGGGGGAAGGAGTGTTTTTACATAAGTTAACTATCCATGCATTATGAATATTAACAGCAGAGCCTGGTGGCGAGATGTGTACTGATTAAAAATCCCTCCCTAAGCAGCCTGTATACACTCAATGGCTAGCTTAACTCCCTTTGTACTATAGATACAGGGCAATCAAATATACTTTTTTTCATGTGCTTTGTTGTGGCTCTTATAGGTCTTAGAAGTAGTGACTTTCTGAGGTAACTTCTCAAATTCTTTTATTCCCCTGCCCTGCAATTCCATCGAAATGGTAAAACTGCCCTTCGTTACCCCATTGCTCCTTAAGTCACTAACATTTCTTTAAAAAGAGCATGGAGAGAAGTGTGTTCTTGCAGCCTGAGTGCAGTAATAAGACAATGGGTAGAGAATGTGATAATCAAAACCTCAAAGTATAACATGAATATCAGTTTGTTGGAAACTGCCTGCAGGGATACAGCTGTTCTATTTCTTGAGACTTGCTGTCAAGCAAGTTCCACTGAAGAAAAGGTGCAACCAACCAAACCCTGGTTCTCTTCTTGTGTTTGTTCACCATCCAACATCAACTCATGCCCATATAGCTAAGTAAACGTGAATACTGATAGAGTGATGGTTGTGGCTGGGCAAAATTATTTGATGTGCTGAGCTAGAAGCAGCTTGAGTAAAATTATTTAAAATATCTGTGGCAGAATTTCAACAGCCCTCATTCCTCAAGATACTTGCTTTGACGTTGTCTTGCAGACAGCAATGTCCAGTCTTTACCTGGTAAGACACACAATCTGAACTTTTCTAGTGTTCAGGTTTGCAGGAGGTCTTTCGAATAAGTACTGACAAGTTTGAGTAAGTCTTCCTATTATTTATTTGAAAGTGTCATAATCTTATTACTGAACGACTGTAGTGTTGTTTTGGCTGAATTAACCACTTTGTGTGATTTGAATAGGTGCCATGTTGTACCTCATCAGAATCAGCTGTATTCTGGAATAATATCCAATTCCAATAAGGAAGCAGGACCTAATAAAATGTTCTTAGTTGATTTCACTTACTTGGACTTGAATGCTCTGCTTGGCAGGAGGGGAAGGCTGTTTAGTTGAGGACAGAATGCCTCTTCATCTGCTGCATATACTTTTGGTTCAACTAAGGTCTGAACGGGGCTAGAGGGCCCCTCTGGGTCAGATTGGTTCATCTAGCTGTCTGTTCTTTGAGAGTAGCACAAGAAGTTGTTCAAGGAGAGCTTACAAGCCTGGCTGCTTTCTGCAGTCCATTTCCCTTGTATTTTCCCAGTATCCAGAGTTGTTAAGTCAAGGCTGTTAAAGGGTATATCCTTGTCTACTCTTCTCTGCTTACTACAACAGCAGTTACAATGTACAGAGTCCTTTCAAATACACACTGTATGTGCTGTAGGTCTTGTTTTACCCTTTGGAAGCTAAAGTGAGCCTTTGAATAGCTTCCAGAAATGCTTTGTTGATATATGTGCAGTTATTTATGTAAAGCAGGAAGTTGGTCATGAATATGAAAATGTTAAATCTCTTATTCCCATATTGTTTCTTTGTAGTGCTAGACCATATAATGTCTTTTGGTATAGTTGCTTCAGGTGATGAGATGGTTCTCAACATCCAGCTGACAGATTTGTGTGTCATCTACTATATTGATTTGACTGTTCCTGTATTAAAATGAACTGTCCCCAAGAAACATTTAGTGAAACCTAATATTGGTGTGATATGTTGGTCCTTAATTTGTCATATGCGAGACTGCTTATTTTTGTTTTGTCTCTCCATGTAGTAGAATCATGTTCTCCTTCAACAAAATTGGAATTTCACCCTGTTATGTTTGGAAATGTAAAACTTAATAAATTGCATTTCATTCCTATGTTTCTCATGTCAGAGGATTACATATGAACTTTCAAATTGAGGACATCACGTTGAAGAGTGGTGGTGGGAAGGATGTCTCTCCTCTTTCCCCTCCCTTTCTTTCTTCCCTGCTCTGTTTCCAAGATCCTCCACATGTAGGACCTCCAGCATGGCCAGTTCACATGGGGTCAAAATTACTTCCTCCTGGCTGGTAGCTTCTGTCCCGGTGGCCAAGACCCCGGCTGCATGGGGTCTCCTCTGTTTCCATGCTTGAGTCCTTGAAGAAGTTTGTGGTGTTGAGAACTTGTGTGTCAAGGTTGGTGCTAGAATTGTATCAAACAAATGCAAGTTGTGATAGAGTCACTTAGCAACAAGGAGGTATCTTTGCAAGGGAATGATGGCAGGGTGTTCCTGTTAAAATGAAGAGCTAATGGGGGTTGGTATTTAAACTGTCCTAGCTTTCAAAAATCATACTTTTCTGAAGCTGCCAGTTTGGACAGCAGAAAAGCGTCTTAAATATGAATTGAGTACCTGGAGCTGCTGCTCTGTACTATAGCCCCATCTTGAAGTTTCTTCTGAAACCCTGAAAGCTGTGGAAAAGGAGCACAGCTTAGTTGCGAATCATGAAATTTGTAATCTGACTGCATGTTGTGGAATGCACAAGTCTGTGCATTGCAGAAATGATTTGAGCAGCCGTAAAGGTTATATACCTGGTTATAAGGGGAAAAGGTGACAGAGGGGAAGATGCTGATTCTGTTGTGACTTAAGTGCTAATCTGCAGGAAGCTTACTGCATTTGTGGATTTTGTTGTTGTTTTTGTTCTAAGTTTTGATGAATGTTGTGCCAGGAAAAAGAGATTTAATGTGATTGGCTACTTTGAAGTGTGAACCTGTTTCAAGAAAGCGCATGAATTTCTGCACTCACCTAAAGCCTTGATTGGATCATGTCATTGTCAGAAGCTTGGGGTAAATTGGAGTGCAGCATTGAGTGAAGGTTGCCGTCTATCAGTCAGTGAGCAGTTTGGCTATTTGCCTACAGACTTATGTGAAAGAGTCTCAAAATAATGTTTCTTAGAAGCCAGCTGTTGCCAGTCATTTCCTTTTTAACTGATCTGTTAATTCACCTTGTGAGGTATCTTAGCACTTGGCAATAGACGTATTTGTGATATACCTGTGTTTGTAAAAGATAAATGGTGACAATGGTTAATTAAATACTCTTGTGACCCCAAAACCTTCCAATTGAGGAAATTGCTAAAGGCATGGGCTGCGAATTCATCAGTTACTTCTGTGTCGTGAACATGAATGAGTCTTAATATGCTGAAGAAGCAGATTCAGAAGCCACTGTGTTTCTTGATGCTGTAGAAGTGTGTATCTGCAAACACTTCCAATAAGCTGCAGATTTGATTAAAAAAACCCCCAAACACTAACTAACCTGAAATACTAAATACAGGAGAAACTCTAAACATGGGATTCAAAATGCATTGTAAGGCATACAGTACTTTGCTGTGGGATTAACTGTAAGCAAAAACGGGCTTCACAGTGCCTCTTCATTGGTGGCTATGGTGACCTTGACTCCTTCCTTTCAGTGGACAGAGGATGAAGCAGTTGGGTATGCGGGTGATACGTAGATTGTATGGCTGATAAGTCTCAGTACATGAACTGTAAAAATCTAAAAGACTCTGATGTGCTTGGCTTTCTAAAAAAAAATTATGGTAAGAATCAGGGTTTAAATGTTATAGAAAACCATTTGAGTGTTTTGCAAAATAGTGACACCATGCAACTGCACCAGTTTGAGGGGAAGCATGCTTGCAAAACTCTTCCTACTTTGCTTACTCGCATCTCTGCTCTTTCTTCCATTGTGTTTGCTCACTTGCTTTTTGTTTGTTTTTTTGTGAATTTAATCAAATATTGAGACATTAAATGTATTGTCAAAACCAGAGGACTAAGATATTGTGTAGGAATGATGACAGGAACAGAATTTGAAAAATGAGGATCTGTATTTACGCTTATTTCAAAGACAGTGTGAATGAATGCCTGTTTTATAAGCAGGGTAATTTTTTTTTTTTAACAGAATGCCTGTTTTATAAACAGGGTAATTTTTTTTTTTAACAGGCGTTGGTAAATCTATTTGTCAGTGTTTCCCTAGACTGGGCAGTGGTTTGCATTTTGTTGATGGTACAGTGCCATCTACTGACTGCTCCCGTGAAGCTGGGGAGAAATTGCCAAGGAAAAATGTTGGCAAAAGCAGATGGCATCGATTGCAAGGTGAGATGGCTCACAGCTGCAAAAAGACTGCTTTATGGAAGGTCAAGTAAGCCGAAGTCTGATCCCTTGTACCTTGAGATAAGACCACTGCAAAAAATGTTCGTTGTGTGGCAGTGTGGTTGGAGGTGGTATGAGCCATACAGGAGGAAGATGGCTTTCTTACACAGCCAGCTGCAAATGTGGCACTTGCAAAATTTTTGTTTTCAGTTAGCAATTTAATTACCTTAAAATCTTTGTAAACACTTTTTTTTTCATCCAAATGCTATCATAATCTTAGGTACAGGCAGCGTAGGTTTTTTCCATGAAATTAAGCATTTAAACAGTAGATATACCTTTTTTTTCTCTGCTTCTTTGCAGCTTGATCACATATTGTCCCCACCACCTCTGTCTTTTCAAAAATTCAGCGGTCCTGAAGTCTCTTCTGGCCCTAGAAGGTCTTCCAAATTTAAGAGGCAGCTCAGTGAAGACGGGAGACACTTCAGAAGAGGAAGCCTTGGAGGAGCTCTGACTGGTGAGTTTGGGGTGTGTGTAATGTCATGGGAGGTTTAGCAGCTGTGGAGCTGATGGCACCTTGACCCCTGGCATTTGCCATGTGGCAGAACTCTTCCGGGAAGTTGTGAACTCCATCTGGAGTTTCCGTAAAGTCTCTTCCACATGGGTTCCCTGATCGTCATGAGCTCCCCCATCCCCGATCGGGTGAGCTCATGTTTGAGGCTCTACCTCCATGGGGTGCTGATAGGTGGCCAAGCCCATCCCGAAAATGACCCATGCCTTGAAATTTTTAGGAATATGGCATTTATCTTTCTGACTTAATTTGGCAGCTTAAGGCTTGTTTCAGATGTGCTCAAATGCATTCATCCATGGGATCACATACATCTTGTTTTGTCAAGGAGCTGAAGTGCACAAATAGTGCCTTTAGACTTGATATTATTAAAGAAAAAGCAATTTGGCCTCCTTTATCTGGTGGAGTCCTCCCAGGGGAGGAGGGACGTTACCAGCTCGCCACTGGCTATGGATTGCAACTTCTCCTCTGTGAATCCATGCAGAGGTTGCAGGACACTTGAGGAGGGCTCAGGCTCTCCCTGCCCTGGTAGTGTCTATGGAAGATGCCAGATGCAGAAATTGTGATTGTGTCCCGGGAGCTGTATGGCTGCAGCAGTCACTGACGAGTGATTGTTTTTGAGGGTGGAGTGAAATGAGTGTGAAAACATTGGGACAGGTTAACTGTCACTTCCTTTGTGTATTTCAATAAAAAGAATTTTTAGGTTCACTAGAATTTGGCAATTAAATGTATTCCTGAAGTGCACAATTTTAACAGTTTGAAGAATTGGCTGTGAAGAACAGGATATTAAGTGCCTGGTGAGAGCAACAGTAGATTTCAGTGAATTTAGTGTAAGGGATAAATTTGAGATGCAACATCTTGTTTTATCTGTTCAGGTGATCTTGATTGATACCAAAATCAAATAGGTGAAATTCAGATGAGAGAAAGTTGAAATGGCATTTACTTGAGGTGTGACTATCTTCTGTCTCTGAATTCTGTATATTGTTCAGAGGTGTGTTTGCTCAGGGATCAAAAATGGTGCCACAGTGGATAGAGCTGATTCTTCTGCCCTAAGCGTCTGAGAAGTGCTTTCAAAGAATTTGCTTTTCTCAATTCCTTCCCACCCCTGTTCCTGTCCTTATGCTGGAAGAAGCCCCAAGAAGCTATTGCAATACTTCTCTTTGTCTGTAATCAGTAGCTTAGAATCACCTACAGTGCTTCTAGTGAGTGACAAATAATTTTTTTTTTTTTAACCTAAGTACCTTAAATTAAGTTGTCTCGTACTTTATGTGAAGGAAAAACAGATACTACTACAGGAACTTTTTCTACCACATCAGCATGTAATTGTTGCTGTGATTTTTAATGTCGCTAGGGTAAGATTTGCCGTTTCCCTTGCAGCTTCATTTTTATCAAGAGTTGTATTATGAGTATTTCAGAAACAATATAAGCGTATTTGTGATCTGTATAGGATTTTGTGAAAAATAAGTGGCTTACAGCAGTCTGAAGCGTCAATTTTGCTAACCATATCGGTGAACTCTCTGGCTTCTCTGAAGTGCTACTACTTTAAAAACTTGAAGTGTAGATGAAACTAGTGTTTTTCTGAGACTAAAAATTGTCAGCACACTACTTATTATTTCAAGTGTGGGTTTTAAACTTTGTTTTTGTTTAACTTTAAAGTAGGGCAGTGGTCTTCTAAAGATTGAACTTTGCCTGTAAGCATTCCAGATGGAGAACGCAGCCTGAGCAAAAACAAACAAAGCAAATGTGCTCTGCCGCTGTAGTCCCTAGTCTTTATCTCTATGCTTGAATTATTGCTTGAGGTCTTTATAATGGCAAATGGATATGCGTTTTGTTTGCTTGCAATATGGTGTGCAGGGTTTCATGTCAGGATTTGGGAATACACTGTGCAATGATGTTAAACTGCTTTATTACTAATGCACTTCAGATGAACCTGAATACCCTAAGGCTTTGGTGTCTTAAAATAGTTTAAGTATCTTAACAGGTTTCACGATACTGATTAAATTAATCAAAGTCATTCTGATGACAGAAGGTTCTTGATATTCCTTTGGGATTAAAAAAAAAAAAGCACTACAGATAGTTCTCTATTTCCTAGAATTGTTTCAAATAGTAATCTAACTTAATCATTTTAGCGTTACCTTGGGCTTGTATTTACCTACCTTTTTATACATACTTAAGTTTTCAGGTTGTTTTTTTATTAGTTTCTTCAATGCTTGAGAGTAGCTTGCTCTTCTGGTTTGAAACTACAAGAATCACAGTATCATTAAAAAGTAAAAAAAGCAGGGGGGGTTGTGTCAAGAAGGCCTTCCATTAAAGTAAGTGAGCTGACATGTCCTTGGTTTGGGTTTACTTCTATTCCTACCCCTCCCACCCCCATTTCTGTTTGAGTCTTAATGTTTCTGAAAAGATATTCATGGTCCATAAGGAGGGGCGGGAAATATTAGGAGACCTGTCATTTGGAAAAGTACTTGATCATTAGTATCACTTCACACTGATCACTTCCTTCCTTTAGTCTTACTTCTGTTTTGTTGCTTTTGATATTCTTTTAACTTAAGTACTAGCTTAATATCGAGCCATTAGAAAATAGTTCGGAAAGGTATTTTTAAAATTGTTTAAGGTACAGTCTCTAACTCTGTTGTTCAAAATGTTACCTTTGCTAAACTCCTAGAAATACGTTAAGTCGGAATAAGTAAAATGAACGAGAAGACTCCTAACTTACAAATTTGCAGAGTATTCCTATGCTCATGCTTGTTGCTCACTCCAAACGTTAGAAAATAAGGGAATTGTGCTTTGTTTATTACTTTGACTTTCCCTTTGCTGATAAAAACACAATATTATTGAGCTGTAGAATGTAAGTAGTATTAATGATAAGAACAAAAATAAAAATTTAATTTGTTTATATGAAACCCACATAGTTCAAATCCTACAGGGCTGAATAGTAATAGAGGTAAATAGTAGGGTTTTTATCTGTGGGAATAGATCCCAAATAAATGAGTTTATTTGGCTTTACAAGAGGGAATAATGTTATGCATGACATATGAGAAGAAATAGAATCTATATTGTTGCAGCATATTGAATGAGACTTACAAAACCTGAAAGATTACAGTTACTGAGAACCTATTACTCTGAATTGGCTAAAGTAAATTACAAAACTCCTTATACAGGAATATGAGAAAAATTGAGAATGAATATGATGAAAAATCGAGAAGGTCTTTCCAGTGGGAAATCAACACAAGGGAGAGGAGGTTTGGAAACTTGGAGAGGTGAGATAGAAACTGAACTCACATTCTACACAGCTTCAGGGAAACTGGAACCCAGATTTTTTTCCTGAATTGCCTAGTTCTAAGTAATCCAGCAACCATGCATTTTCAGTGACAAACAAAGAATACTCTTCTGAGTTGAAGAAAATTGACAATGTTTTTGAGAATAAATCTACTGTTGCTTCCTGTTGAAAATCGCTAGGGAACCACTGATACTAAATAAAGTTTGGCCAATAAAAGAAATAAATACTGCTTCCTGGAGATACCGTGCTCTTATATTCTTGAAAAGTCACTTCACTCTAACTGTTGTGACAGTATTGCTTTCCTTAATCTTCATACCCAAGGAGGGGGAGGAGGAAGACTTTTGGAGAAAGAGAGGCTGAATTTGTAATGAAAAGACTTTATTGGATGTGGCCTGCTATTAGTTTAGCAAATCTACACTATTAGTTCTTGTTGTGAAGTGCTGGTAGTACTGCTTAATAGAAAGAAGGGATGAAAAATAGTGTTTCATAATGGGGGTTGCTAAACATAAGCATTCATGAGATAAAACAACTTCAGAGTAAAAGTATTTGAGAGTAATTTATGACCTGTTCCTTTCAGTTTAAAACGCTGTGTTTCCAAAGGGCTATGAAGTTTTGGGTAGCAAAACCACTTATGCAATCATCAGCGTTCGCCTTTCGCCTCTTCTGCCGTTCCTGCATCGTAACTCCTGCTCCAGCTTCCCCCATCCCTGTGCGTGCGCGTTCCCGTAGCAGCGCTTGCGACGGTCTTTACCGGGGAAGCCAAACGGAGCTGCCGGAGTTCTGCTTGTGCCACAAGTGGTGTAAAGCAGAACCCTTGCATGCTGTGTTCAGCTGCGGAATAAGCCCTGCCGCAAGGCTGAGCTGTAGCTCCTTGCTCAACATCCCTAGGTCAGACACAGAGGGGAAGAAAGGTCATCGCCCCAGAAGGATGCTGGTGCCGTCGTGGGAGTGCTGGACAGACTGGGAGCAGAGTGTGGTCAGGTCAGATCAGCCCTGTTCTTCTTGGGACAGTAGACTTGTGTGTGTACATACATGTGTGTTCAAGCGCCTCCTCCCATAGCCATAGGTTGCCTTCTTAAGGATTCCTAGCAGTGCACAGGCTGGGGCTTTAAAACTGGTTTCTAATCAGCAGAAAAGATGCTTAGTTAAAAAGCTGCTTTTCTGTGGTGGCTGGTTTTCTTGATCTCCACAAACTCCAAAGGGCTGTCTGCAGGTTTCAGCTTAAATTGTCTACAGATTTTAGTTTGCTGTGTTCAGAGATGCTTAAGTAGGATTCATGGCAAAAAGTAACGTGAGAGGCTGAGAAATTAAATGAGCTTTTACCACGGAGGTTGTTAACCTGGCAAATCACTTGGACAAGTGAATGAACTGGCCTCGACATCAGATCCCACTGCTGCTCCTCCGTTTGCGCCGTGGTGTGGGGTGCAGCTCTCTTCGGTGTCCTCGGCTGGTCTGGTGCAGCATCTGGAGATTGCCATCTCCCTTTCTGCTTCAGAGAGGTATTAGAACATATTGCTGGGAAGAGTTTGTATTTTGCAGAGCGCTGCAGCTAGCTCGGTTGTCTCTATACTGCACTGATAAGCTCCACAGTTAGACATAAAGAAGAAAAATACATTTTGTTACCTATAGTTTGAACTTCTTATCTTGCCTGCTGTTATCTCATCAATAA